CTGGTGTGGAGACAACAGCAAGCCACAGCACTGAATTTGTTACGATCTAATTGGTAGGGATTTCATATTTAGTATGTCTTTAGTTATATTGTCTTGAATTATGTGAAAAATACCTGATATTAAAATGTCCTCTATTTCTTACAGGCTTCCTTCCTCTCTCCTTCTCCCTAATAGCATGGTGCAGGGCCTACACAATAATGGGACACTGAAGTAAAAAAGACATATGTCATGGATTTGGCCATATGGCATATTTCTGTTTTTAAATACAGTTGTGAATTGGGATAAAATTAAATGAATAATTTTGAACAGAAATGGAGATTAGAGACAGAAGATCAGAAAAATAAAATCTTTTTGTTCTGCTGCTATTAAAATGAAACAGCATTTTTCTTTCAAGAACTCATTTTGAAAGCAAGGAAAAATTATTTTTAAAAGGTCTTATCTCATGAAAAGTAAATTAAATGTCTCATATTGGGTCAAATAAAATGCTCGTTTGAACAAAGCTGGGGGTTTCTTTGGTTTCTTTGCAACCATATCAACTATGCTATTATTTATATTTAAATAATCCTGCTCTGATCTATAAAACTATAGACCAAGACTAATTTCTTTAATACTCACTCACTCACTTACTTTGGAATACTATCAAAGTATCTGGACTGGTACCCAAAACTTTGATCAACATCAGAGCGTAAAATGCAGTTTTATACACTCTAGCTGAGGCAATGAAAAGGTAGTTACAATTAAATCTTTTCTCTGAGCAATACTTTCTTTTTATTGGATACTTCTTAAAAACAGGAAGATAGACAAGAAACAGGAACTGGAAATTGTTACATCTCATGCATGACTGATTGTTAAACAAATATATAAATCTGTTCATTATTGTTCAGAGAACTGATAAAAATATTCCTTCATTGCTTCAAACAATCTGTACTCCATGGCCAAAATTCAAGTGAATTTTGTTGCTGTCAACACAGTGGTAAAAGGTGTGCCGGGATGCCTGGGATCTCCTGGATAGAAGACACAGGCTGGTACTGGGCACAAATGCCACACAGCTGATGGCAGAATGACCCAAGGGGGGATCCCAGGTGGACATCAAGGCGACTTGGAGTACTGAGGCTGAGGGATGTGCCAAGGTGCTGTCCCATCTGCTGCCACTGATGCAGGTGCCATCTCTCGGGCACCCTCTCCAGCTCCATCAGGACAGCTTCATTCTTCATTTCGATGAGGCACACCTGGCCCAGCTGCCCCTGCTGCCTCTGAGGCAGCTCTGAGTTCTTGCTCCCAGGACAGGTTTCCATATGGTTCTGGCTCCTGCAGCAGCTCCCAAAAGATCCTGGCTGGCTGGAATGCTGTGCTCCCCCAGATCCTGAGTGTCACCTGATTGCGCGGTGCCCACCCTGTCTCTTCCATCCCGCTCTTGGGAGGAGGAAAGGACAGTTTTCAGAGCTGCAAGAATCTGTGGATAAACAAATAAATGGCGTGGTTGGCGATGAAGAGACTTGAAACTGATTTAGGAAGAACAAAGCAGCAATGATAGCAGAGAAAAATTTTCAGTGATCCCTCAGTAGGAGGCACCCTGGGTGCTCTTTGGCTTCTGCACCTACTGGTACCTTTTTGTTCAGCCTTTGCCCAATACAAGCACAGCACCACCCTGTTTCCTAAGTCCTGGTACAGTTTTTGAGCCCATGCACTCTGTTTGGTGCTTCAGAAACAGACTGTCATGATGCTGAACATGTCCCTGTCACAGCAAGCATTGCCAATATGGTGCTGTTGGGTGCTTCAGAAACAGACTGTCATGATGCTGAACATGTCCCTGTTTAGTGTTTGGTGCTTCAGAAACAGACTGTCATGATGCTGAACATGTCCCTGTCACAGCAAGCATTGCCAATATGGCCCACCTCAATGTCCCTAAGGGCTCGAAACCTCATGGCAGCCCATTTTGGTGTTGAAATCAGGGAACAGAAGACACCACTGTGTACAGTATTACTTGTGTACAAGTAATACAAGTGTAAAACATGTCTTTGAATTGCAAACACTGTGTTTGTGGTTTTATATCCATTTGCAGTGATACCTCTTCTCAAACTGCTATGGTTGCAGCAGCTTCACATACCTTATGAATATTTTGGTATTCTCTTGTGAAAGACTGGAGAACCTTCAGCGTATTTTTCACTTGGTCTCTCTCAAAAGCACTTCATGCCAAGCTACTGCTAAAGGAACACATTTGGATTGCATCTCTGGTGTCATAGACTACATGACAACAATGATTATATGATGTATCTTCAAATAGGGAAATACCGAGAAACATTACACATATTGCATTCATCAAATCTGCCTGGTCAAAGTAGACCCCTTAATAGATACATCTAGTGCATAAAACAACACTTAAAGACCGTTTTAATTTTAGCTTTTTATTCTCCCTCAAACAGAAATACTCTTTCTGTTGTACATGTACAACTGAAACCTTTATTATATTAAACTTAGGGCTCATATTTATTCGCTTTGGATCACTAAATCAAGTTGAATTCTAGCCTGCGTTGAAAAAAATCTCCTTATTAAGTGATAGTAAAACACTGAACAATTTGATCTTTCCATGTAATTATGTAAAGCAACTGTGTTTGCAGTAAAGAAGATACCAGCAATAAATGCAGCCTTTGAGACCACAACAGAAAGCCTTCTAATTTCAGGAGATATTGCTAGCACACATCAAACTAGACATAAAAAATTACCAGCTCATAGAATGATTAGCATCATCTCTCTTCTGTGAAAAGTGACCTCCAGTCTAAGACCTTCATACAGAAATAGAATGAGTTTGAATCACTAATCACATTTAGGCTTCATCAATGTAACTAACCAGCTAATCCTATTACTTTTTCTTTTTTCATATATTGCTTTAGAAAAGTGTTAGAGACCACCACGGTATACTGCCATGACGACCAGACAGAGGTTCCCTGCTGCAAACACACCCTGTCCCCTTTCCCTGTGGGGGCTCTTGAGAGAAGGAGAGCCTGGTACAGGTTTTTTGCTTTTAGCACAATTTGGCAGGACATGATCATCTGCTGGGCAGGTTGGCTCAAGTCCCTGCATAAGGCACTCATCGTTGTTGTCTGTTGTCAGCCTTTCCCAGAAGAGGATGTCCTTTTTTCTTGATACAGTCCTTCAGCCTCAGAGGATTGGACTCTTCAATAGAAGCAGTGGCTCAAGACAATTTGAATCAGTCATGAGCAAGCTGATGTTCACCTTCATCTCCTAACTCCCACCTACTCCAATGACCTTTATACAATTCTTATCCTTTCCTAGGGTCCCTTGACAGATGTTGTCATCCTAAGTTTAAAATGGGCTATTGATTTTGGCCCTTAATCCTTCTTTGTAATCTGACCCCTTTAGTACCTCTTTGTTAGTATAAAAAATCCTAAACATTGGTTTTTTAAAAATTTTTCTCGTTCCTTTTTCTTAGCAACAGTTCTGAGCGTTCAGAAGTATATTTTCTGACAGTTAATGACAGTCATCCTGGCTGGTCTTTCTTGTATTTTTTCATTTCCCTTCTGTACCTGATTTTTCTCCATGCTCTCCTTTGCCATTTACTGCGGGTGGTTCTTAGAGGGAACTTGGGTTTACCCTCTAGCTCACTGGGACATATCAGAGTGCACTTTCACATTCAGCTTCCATGGGCTGGGTCTTATGCAGAAAAGTGCAGAGTGCCCAGGTCAAGTGGGAGTCTGGCAAGCCCCAGTGGGTCCCTGTGGCAGCAGGATTACCAGCCAGAGCTCAGCAATGCTCTGCAGTATAAACCTGCTGCAGAGTTTATGCACAGGCTAGCACTTCACCCTCCAGATGTGATGGCTGAAACTGCAGGACCGGGTGGGGAAGATCCTGCCTTGAGCACCTTTCAGTAAATCAGTACTAAAAGCCTTTTCTCCTGCCCCTCCCGGCCAGCAAAATACACTGGGTCAAGTTTGGCTAGTCTGTGTGCCCAGAGAGCTGATGGATCCCAGAGGTAAGCACCCACAAGGCAATAGTAGAAGGAACCCATATTCCCAGTCCCCAAACCATTTTATCCAAAGCTGGATTGCTGGGCAGGGAAAGGAATTTGGGAGACAAGATTTGATCCTGTCAGCTCCCTCACATGCCCCAGGAGCCAAGGCACCAATGTCAAGGGTTTGGTTTGCAGCACCTGCTCTGCTGGATTTGCAGCTGGAGGCCAGTTTGCTGCCTTAGTGTTTGCAGTGCTTAATCCTTGTTAGCTAAGCCCCTCAGAACTGTATGGACCCCAGGTCTCTGCTAACCTGCAGTTTTGGTCCACAGCTGGTTGGACACTGGTAGGTTCAGCAAAAAGGGGCAGAAGCAATTTCCTCGTGAGGCATAAGAAACACCCTAACTCTACCTCTAACCTTTGATTTTCCTCATTGTCTGGGCCAGGTGCCACAGAATCTGTTTTTTTCTGAGTTACTCTTCTTCAAAATCTCATGTGAAAACAGGGATCAGGGAAGAGGAGGGTCTGAACTGTGAATCCAGGCCAAAAGTGTGGCTGACTAAAACCTGGCTGGGTTGTGGAGGACCCAGGACTGAGTTACATGAGAGGACAGTCATGGGATGGATTTGGATGGTGCTGGTCAAGTGAGTGCAAGAGAGAGGGGCATGGTGGGCAGCAGCCTTTTTGCAGACTCAGAAGAGAGCTATGAGTGCCAAGAGACACAAGAGCAGGAACTTGTAGCAATCAGGCTGGGGGAGACTATAACTTAAATCTAATGACTGTAGGGATGGAGGGAAAGGAACATTAATGTAATTTTTCTAAATCCCAGCCTAAGAACCAGATTCTTTGAGAAAGCCTTTGGATTAACTGATAGCACCACACAAAATATGCAGACATAGCTTACATTTTTCTCAGGCTTTAACTACCTTAATATCTCAGATAATAGAAGGATGTCAGAAAGATTTAAACACTCAGAAGCCTTTGGAATTTGTAAAGCTCTCCCAGAAGTTAATTAGACCTAGTTATTGAATCTGACAAAGTATTGCACTGTGGGCTCTCATTATTTTTTTTTTTTCTTTCACCTGCAGTGCTCCATATGGAGTTCAGTGAGAGCCAGAGGTCCTGTGAGAGCCAGAGGAGCCCCTCCACCAGGCAAGACCAGAAAGTCCAGCACCTTATCTTTTGCTAAAAGTTTCAAGGAAGGTATGATATTCTCCAGGACTGTAGCATACTGGATCAGCAAGGCTAGGCTTAGCCACAGGCCATGACTGCCAAACCCCAGGCCTGGCCTCTGCGACCAGAAGCTTTCCTACCCCATCAGTCACAATGACAAGCATTTATGAACTAAGCAGTTTAACATGTTCCATAAAGACAGTTAATATCCCATGAGATTTTACTCCTAAATTAATCCCTAATTCTTTTCGGGGAGAAACAGATCAGAAAACAATCAAAGCAACAGCCACCATTTGTGACACATGATGCTTATTCACTTATATCAAAACACTTCAGGAAGCTGTTTTTCTTGAGTTACCATTTCCATTTCTTAAGGGGAAGAAAAACAAGGAGAATATCTCACAAATTTTAATAGTCAGTAGTGAATTTAGCATCAGACAACTCCACATGAAATCATCTTGTCTACATTTTTATGAATAGGATATTCCAAAAAGTGTTCTCCTGCTAGGAGAAAACAGGACCAAAAGATCATGAAATGAAAATATTTCACAAAGTGAATTTCTGCCTCCTGAACATCTGCAGTCATAGATTTCTTCCCAAAACCTACGAGATTCAGGAAAGCTCAGTGTACCTGCAGGATCATTCAGGGAGGAGCCCACAGGGGATGAGTGAGCTGTGACCACAGACTGAACTGCTGACCTATCAAGTAGGCAGCTTCCTCTTTCTTCTGTCCTAAAGTCCTTATCCTGCCTGTGTGTGCCCTGGAGGAGGCCAGGGAGAGGATGCAAGAGGAGCAGATCTGCTGCTCCTGACAAGGCACAGTTTTGACTGCAAGGAAAAGTTAACAGGAAGGTCAAAGAGTGATGGCTTTCAGGCATCCTGTGCTCTCTACAGCAGAGGGTACCTGAGGTTTCCCATCTGCAATTTCAAACATTAACTACACCTCCAGCCTCCATCACTCACATTGCCTTGAGACAGAAGGGAAAGGGTAGCTGTCCCTCAAACTGACTGCCTGCTGCCCTCTGGGTTTTCCTGATCCTTGGAGCCAGGGTTGCATTTTAAAAACTATTGATACCCCATATAATTTCTCCCCCTAGGGATTTTGGAGTTCACTGGCCTATTGTCGGAACTCAAAATGTCCCTCAGACATTTTCAGAGGTTCCAGGCCTTGGTCAAAAGCATTTTAGACCCTGTCAAGCAGCTGAAAACAGCTGTGATCTTGAGTTTGAGCCATGGAATGAATTACCAACTTTGAAGGTGGAACAAGCGGTCACAGAGTTAGATGGTATAGTAAAAGTAGTCACAAATTAGAGGGGAAAATTTTTTAGTATTTTACAGGGGGGTTTTAACACCTGTGCAGGGCGGTTTTACTTTGTACAGGGGGATCAGGAGTTCTAAGATGGAGGAAAGTGGGCCTGATCCTGTTCTTCCTCCTTCTTCTTCCTTACCTCCATGTTCTTGGTGATGTTGGCACTCACAGATTGGTTTAGAGTAGAAGAGCACATTGTAACATAGATAGTAGGTATTGGGGAAAATCTGTAAACATATAACACGTAATATATCATATAAAAGATAACAGCAGCCTTGGGCGGGGAGAGAGACGACGGAGACACCGGACAGTGAGGGTGTCAGGAGTGTGTGTGTCTCTGCCTGGGCCGCTGACCAAAGCAGCCGCAGCGGGCGAAGACAATCTTTTAGATAACTCGCAATAAACTGCCTTGAGACCAAACCACAAGAGGCTGCGGAGTCTTTCTTTGGAAGCACGGGTTGGAGGAAAGACTTTACCACCATACGAGACCCCTGAATCAATCCCGGGGTTCTCACAGCCTATGAGTTCAGCTATTTCCACTCTTCTGCAATTTAGACCATGCACGTCTTTGTCCTCTTCCCCTGCAAATGCACTGCTATCTGTACCATCTCTCTTTCCTAGCAGATGTGAGAGGCCCATAGAGATGCTTTCTGCAGTCAGGTGGACATCCTGCACTTTGGCATTGGGCTCTTTTTCTCTCTCTCTGTCGTTTCTGAGGGCACTGCTGTCCCTGCCCTTAGTGGCACTAATCAAATACTTCAGGTCTTATGTTCTGCAGCCACACACAGACCCACCAGCACCTGAAGCAGAGTCAGATTCTGCCCTCCCAGACCTCACCATGGGACTGGGTCCCGTGTCCAGTCTGGCTCAGGTTACCTCTCTGGAGCAGGACAGGTCAAGCCATAGGATCCAAGTGCAGAGCATCAGAGAGAAGAGCCCTTAAGTCCCCTTTAGCTCCACTTAGGAACAATGAGGAGGGAGAGATGTCCATATGGTATAATTACACTAATCTCATTTATGCATCTGCTTTAGGATGGAATGAATTGTGCCCTAGATTCACTGACTCCAGATACTCAGATTGTGGTGACAATTTCAGATAAAGATGACTACAAGCCTGCCAGAGGAGCCACACCCTGTGAGACAAGTTGCTCTGAAAGTGTGTGGTTAACTCTGCAATCTCCTGAGACAGGTCTTTTTCTGGTTTACTGTATATGGGCTCAAGGCAATTTGATAATAAATTGAAATACATTCTTAAATTAAATAAGAATATTCATGCAACACATGGCACCAGTTTGAACTGAACTAGTGCATATTCCTATGTAGATAAAGGATATGATGATATGTTTGATCTGTTATTATGCACAACTGATTAGACCGAAGTAACCTTTTTGCAATTAGCAAAATAAAGAACTTAAGTTATCAAAGAGTTCTCTTTTTTAAGACTGTCACAGTATCTATCCAATGCTCATAATTAACCAAGAATTTCCTCATGTTGCTTTTTTACCACACCCCCCCTTTTTTTTTTTTTTTTTTTTTTTTTTTTTTTTTTTTTAATTTTCTTTCTTGATCTGGAACAGTTCAGCCCCCACATATTATTCACAGTTCAGAACCGGAGCTACATCTCTTAGCTCAGAAATGTTCCAGTCATCTCCAGACTGACTCTAGCAAGAAGGGCAACAAGGAGCAGTCAGTCTGGCTATGAATGTCTGTGTATATAGGGACTAGCTTAGAGAAGAGTCAAGGACTGAAGGATTTAGAAAATATCAAATGCTTTCTTTACAGGCCACACTGCTGTCACCAGAGTGAAGTTACTGGGGGCAAATCAAGTTAATTCAAGGCTTAGGGAAGAGCATACATTTGCTTTCTCAAACAAATCTATTATCCTCAAAGCTTGCAGAATCTCCCTTGCTGTGACAGCTCAGGTCAAATTCAAGTGACTTTGCTATAAAGTGAGAAGGATGCACCAGATGCAAAGTATAAAAGAGATTGATGTGTGTGAACTCCCCACTCTGTGTATTGAGTTCACAGAGCAGTGCACAGTAGTGAAGGGATCTGAAAGGACCATGTTCACAGAGTTACATGGATGCTTTTTCAAAGAGCAGGCTGACAACTCGCTAGAACATGAGAATTGTGCTGAAAGATTGAATTCTGAAAGGCATCTCCACCACCTGAGCCAGGCAGGCTGGATCTGCTCTCCTCATATGTGCCCCAGGAGCCTTTCTCACCATCCTCTGCAAACACTGGATGCAATCCCCTGTACAAAGTCAGGCATTTTGATGCTATCTACTCCTCTAAAAACTCAAAAGCTGGGCTGTTTCAGGCCTTCATAGCTGGAGGACAGCAGCAGCAATGCACAGGACTGGCAGCAGTGGGATAAAAATCTGGACTGAGCATTAGAATTTTTATAAAAAGCAAGCCTCTGGGGAATAATCTCATTATAGGTTACTGCAGCCTCATTATCTCACTATATAAGTTTACTCGCTGAATATTACCTCATTAGTTTCTTGTATGCTGTGAACCTGCTGTTTCTCTCATGGTCTTTTGCTTTACACTCCAATTAGAAACAGTTTGGGCAGGCACCATCTTGTGAAGACAATTGTCTGGAGGAATCTGCTCTCTGGTGGGATCTTGGAGATGCTGCTGGGAAACTGCCATCCTGGACTTCCCGAGAAGTGCTGGGCTCCGAAGGGGCCTGGCCAAGATGTGAAGTGCTCCCTGCTGAGGCACTTTGCACACAGGGCACAGGGGTGGAGTGGGCTTCCATGAAAAATAGGCTCAGTCACAGAGATACAGGCAATAATAAAAATGAAGCTATAAAGATGTGTGAGAAAAAACTAGAACCTGAGAAAGAAGAGGCAGACAATAAAGACTGTCCATGTCTCAGTGCTACAGGTGAATGGTCTGTGAGTGACAGAGCTGCAAGACAGCTCCAATATCACTTTCCATGACTGTAAGGAGAGAGACAAGTAGGAACATAGAGCATTTTTCCTGAGGAAGGCTTGACCTACTTTTTAATCTGCACTGTAAAAAGTGCACGTCTAAGGGTTTAAAGAAGAGGGGAAGAAGGAACAGAATGGAAGGAGTGAAAGAGATAGTGAGGAACTTAGTGGAGGACTGACTCAGGGTTAGAAAAGGACAACTTAACCTCCAAGGGTTAAGAGAAGGACAGCTTTTCACCCTATTATCACTATACTACTAGAAGATTTTTTTTAAGACTATGATTTATAAAAATGAATGCAGCACAAGGACAGACTTTCTTCCTTTTCTTTTACCACGGAAGACATCAAATAAATGAAGGCAAAGGGCACAGTCCATAACTCAGTATAAATGGTGGATGGATCACACACTTATACACCAAACCAGACCTATAAAGACAGACAGTCCTTGACAGCAAGCAGTCCAGGAGACAGATTTCATGGAAAACAATTTTTTGTTACCAAGAATGATACACTAATTCAATGCAAAGCTAAATGTATCTTAATTTTCCCCAGGTTCTAGATAACAGGATTGTTTTTAATTAAAGGGAAAAGTAGGCTGGGATGAGGAGTATGGAGAATTGATCTACATGCAGCCTTCCAGGCAGAGTAAGACTTCCAGTTCACCTGGGGACACAGCAGGAACCTTGCAGTGATGGCAGCCCAGACTCCATGCAGGAGAATGGGCATTCCCTTAATAAACATACTCCTCATGAAACATACTGTGCTTACCCAATGATGCTTGA